TAAGACTCGTTTAATATGTGCTTAACAGAACAGTTTACGCACGCCCGATTTAACTTGGGAAAAAGTAAGGTCTCAAGTGGATCATGTTATCTGGCCAGATGGAAAGCGCATCGTGCTATTAGCGGAAGGCCGTTTAGTCAACTTATCTTGTTCCAGTATTCCCTCATTTGTTGTATCAATTACAGCTGCTACTCAAGCGTTAGCGCTCATTGAATTATTCAACGCGCCTCCGGGACGATACAAAAGTGACGTTTATCTGCTACCCAAAAAGATGGGTAAGCGAACTATAATCACGCGTTTCGTTTCGTCCTATTAAGTTTGTGGGGAAACAATCGGCGGAAATTATGCGTTAGAGGAGGGGGGATGGGGTGGGCGAGCAGCCATTTATTTCCCACTGACTTAGTAATTCGTAATTTTACGCTGGATTAATTTATGTAACAATGACTTCATTCGATAGACGAATACGTGGCATCCTTACACTTACCAACTTTTGATGCCCACTTAACGGAATTAACGGATGAGCAAGCCAAATACATGGGACTTAATAAGGCTGGACCTTTTAAGCCTAACTATTACCGGTTCGTATAATTTTACATACCGCTCGACATTTTTAATTGGTATACAGTTGTACAGGTCACTAACAATGTTCTCTTTTTAAATACATTTCAGCTATTAAAATGCGAACGAGTGACACAGTACAGTTCACACGGCGTTCTAATTATTATGTTTTTAAGTATTAAGAAAGCTGCCCCGTTTCAGTGAATTACCTTCTATTGATCACGATCATTCGAATCAATAGAGATTTCTGAATAAGATTTCGTGTTCCCTTTATCGTACACATAAGCTGTTCTATTAAGGTAGAAGAGTATTCTTTCCGTGTGTTCCAACAGAAACGCCGCCTCAGCACTGGTTGCAATAATCAATAACTAGAAGTTACATAAGCGAATATGTATGTATCGAATTAACTTCCTCGCCTGTATAATGGATTAATTTATGAACTGTGCAAGCAGAGAGTCAAACGTGCAGTTGTTCAGTCGCATCAGACGCGGAGTTTGCCAAATGCCAGTTTTCTTATGGCAAAGAGAAAGAGAGAGAACGAGAGAGAGAGAGAGAGAGAGAGAGAGAGCGAGAGAAAAAGAAAGAGAGTGAAGGAACGAAAGTACGATTTGCAAAGATCCGAACACATGAAAAATTTTTAATGCCGTAAGCCACGAAATTAGAAATTCTCATTGACGTTAATTTGATCCGTTAGATACTATTCTCATGAAATTGTTAATTAACGAGAACAATAATCCTTCCAACACCAATGGAGATGTGTACATATGTGTAGAGAATTGAGTATCGCAAGGCATTGATCGTCGTATGGATCAGTGAGACGCGTGACACTTGTTCCCTAACGAGTTAATGTCTTTGCGACAATTACATCCAATCATTGTTCTCAATTTGTCCATTGAAACAGCAATTATTTATACCTGTATTTAGTACCTACAATTCTGAGAGAAGAATAGTATAGAAATAAACCGATTCCAGCTGTGTACATACTTATTTAAGAAGGACGATTAGTACGGGTGAGAATCTTGTTGGATGAACCCCTTTTATAATTGGTCGTACCACTCTCTCAATAAAAAAAGAAAAAAAAGGTATCGACGATCACACATAGAAGACAAATAAACATCTATGATGCCTTGAACATAATTATGTTTACATTATTGATTTATGCATCCTTCACCTTTTTATCGACCAGAAGTATTTTTTATGCTTCGTGATGTATTTATATAAAATCGGATCAATTATAGTTGCGCCTTACTGAGAACAAATTTTTCCACGGATTGAATACAAAATATGTTTTGTATGTAGACATTTATATACTATATATATATGTATATGTATGTATATGTATATTCTTAAACCGTTAACACGCAAGAGTTTCATACTAGCAGTTACCAGTGTAACTCGATTCCACGAACAAAAGAAAAATTGATTCTACCTTGATAACTGTTTCAAAGTAGGACAAGTCAGTGTTCCTATAAATGGCCTAAACCTACCGTTCCAACGTAGAACACGTATTCGATACGTTCTGAGCAACCGTGAAGCAATGGAATTGATCCCCTAGAAATGGTAATGACTAGACTGCGGAAGTTTATATAAATTTATATTTTTATAATCGTTTCTCGCGTTAATAGTTGTAAACCACATGAGAAACAAACAAGAGAAGATGAAATCTTTCTAAAAAACTCCTGTTCCATTTCTTTTGAAGGTTTCCGTCAACTGCGAATGCATAAAGATCTGCAGTCTAGTAATGGGAGCTAACAATAGACTTCAATAAACGGAATTACAATGCGAAACGAATCGAAACGTCAACAGGCAAACAGAGGTGAACTGCAGAGTACACGTTTGCACTTTTGAAAGCCAAATAGAGACCACCTGCGTACACATCTGTATGAATTGTAACTTACCAATTGTATGAAGCAATAACTACATATAAGACAAAACGAAACGTTTCTAGCAAGGAGGCCTTACGAACGTCGATTCAGCGACGAATTCCTGATTCAATGTTCGCAAGGACTTCTTGTCGATTTGAACAGCAATTATTCGACGTACAATACTGCTGAACGCTACGCAACGAGAGCAATAGGGAACGCATTACGAGGATGTAGTATTTTTGTAAATTAGAGCGTGAACAAAGTATGCGAATATACCGAGTATTAAACTTTACATTGTAGACTGAGCAATGTAGGAACTAGGACACTGGTTATATCGTCCGTTTTCAGGATTGAACATCGATTGTTCACACGTTTATAGGAAGATCCAATTTCTCGCGAATTAGATCTGTAAATTAATTTCTGCAATGATCCGCAGTCTATCGATGTAATTAAACGTGTGAACAGTTTAGTGAAATCCGGTAGGAGCACAATTGTTGTACAGTTAAAAACAGAGAACAAAAAACAAGTCAAATGCATTACGTCGATATAAATGTTATATATTTCAGCATAATCGTTATAAAGCGCTTATCGACAGCGTCGATATTCAAGATAAAGAGATGTTACAAAGAGTTCTTGCATCCGTTCGTTCTCCACGATCCGTGTATGAGTATTGAAAACAAAACGACTTTGGAATTGTTTGCAAACAAAAAAAGACAGACAGACAGACAGACAGAGAAAAGAAAAAAAAAGACAGAGATAAACGAATAAGAGACTTAAGAGAATCCACGTAAAATGGCAAGGCTCGACGGCATGGCATACATAATGGCGTACCAGCGACGGTCCACAGAAACGAACTTAAGCACAATTTCTGTGTATACAAAGAAATAAATAATAAAACCAAAAAAAAAATGTAGTAAAAATATATTTTACAATACTCTGTACAAGATCTCATTA